CACTCGGAGCACCGTGCACAGTTCCAGTCCCCGTATCCCTCAGTTAGACCCACACTCGGAGCACTGTGCACAGCTCTGATCTTCTGAATGATGTATCTGGAGCTTTATGATTTAGTAAGATGTTCCCAGATCTGAGTGGTCAAAGCTGAACAGACTGGGGCTGTTTTCTTTTGAAAGCAGGAGGCTGAGGGGTGACTGTTTGAGGCTCTTTAAAATTCTGAAAGGGGTTTTGACTAGGGAGACGTGAAGATGTTTCCATTTGGTGGGAGGGCATGGGCCAGTGATAGGAGGCAGTCCCGAATAAATCTGGTGGGCAATTCAGGAAAAATGTTTATGATCTCTAATGGAGCTGTTGTGTTCTTGTGTGTTGCAGGGAGCCCAGCATCTGTGTCTCATCACATCCTGACCGTTAGCGACCCCACCATCTCTCCCAGCCGCCGTTCCGTGGTACCGAGGCGCCACAGCCTGATATCCCACCACATGGTGCCGAGGGGAATGGTCACCTCCCCGCCCCGGCCGGCCCGCACACCAGCACCCCCTCCTGCCCCACTCATCCGGAGCAAGGACGGAGCATCCCTCACCCAGCGGGACGCTGCGGAGCGGAAATCCGAGGGTCCTTGCGTCCGCCCGCGAGCCCCTCCCCCCGGGGCCGAGCAGCGTAACGGGCTGGAGGGAGACCCCCGGGGGGAGCAGCAGGAGGGGTCCGGCTCCAAGCGGGCGCGTGCTCCCGGGGGCCAGCAACAGAACAGCCCTCTCGGCCCCAAGCTGGTGGAGACCTACGTGCAGCTTGGGGCACGGAGGGCGGAGGTGTCCGGGGAGGAGGAGGATGAGGAAGAGGTGAAAGGGGCACTCGAGCTGCCATGCCCCCTCAGTGCGGCCGAGCTGCTGGCCCCCGAGGGGGTCTTCGAAGGGGCCGGGAGCGAGGGCGCCCCCTCCCTGCTGGGCGACGGAGAGCACCCCTTCGACGCCATCGACCTGGACATTGTGTCGGTGCTGAGCTCCCCCAACCTGCTGGGCTGTGGGTCTCAGGGGGACGCGCCCATCGCCGGGCCACCCCAGGAGCAGAGCACCCAGTACGGGGCGCAGATCGTGGTGGGGGCCCAGGGGGGCGAGAGGCAGCGTCGGGACGGCAGCGGCGGAGGGGGCGCGAGCGAGGAGGACGAAGAGGACGACGACGACCTGGACAACTACTACAACTTTGCCCGCACGGTGGTGACCGAGGACGTGATGGAGCAGCTGGCGTCGGAGTGCTTTGGCCTGGACTCGGGAGAAGTGCCCACCATTGACCAGCTGGACGGAGTGGACGACTCCGACAGCGGCGGAGGAGGAGCGGGAGACGGCGGAGCGGGAGGTGATGGCGGGCAGACCCCCCCTTCTCCTCCTCCCCCCCAGCCCCCTCCGGTACCGGCTGGACGGCCCCAGCCAGCTCCCTCCCCGGGCAAAGAGGGCGAGGAACCGGGCAACATCCTGCCTTCGGAGATCATGGACTTTGTGCTGAAGAACACCAGCTCGCCCCCGCCCCTCCCTGTGCCGCCAGCCGACGACCCCCACTTCCCCGAGCCTCCCCGCATCCAGAGGGCGTGCGGGGGCCTGTGTGCAGAGCCCCATCCCGCCGTCGGCGGAGGAGTGGTGCTGCTCAACAACGGGGGGCGGCATGTGGTCATCCTGAAGGGGGCGGAGGAGCGGGGTTCGGGGGGTGACGGGGGACCGGCTCCCACCTCTGACCCGTCCCCCAGGCCCCCCGAGCCCGAGGCGGCTTACGTCAACCCCCAGCCCCGGGCCGGGTACGGGACGGTGCTGCTTGGAGCCCCGGGTCCCGTCGCCCTCCTCCGGCCTCCCCAGGCGCCCCTCCCCTCACCTCCGCCGCCCTCCCCGCTGCCCGTCCTCAACCTGGTGCTGGGCCATCACGAGCCCCCTGTGACCTGCCTGGTGCCCGTGCCTCAGGGTGTGTTGGGGCCCCCTCCCCTCCCTCAGACGGTGCCGCCCGCCCCCGGGGTCAGGCTCCCTGCCGCTCCCCCCTCTGGGGCTCGCTTGGGGTCGCTGGACCACAGCTCTGCCAAGCACCCTGGCCCACCGCCAGTCTCTGAGCTCATCCTCACCAAGAAACAGAAAACCTCCCATGTCTGGATCAATCAGCTTGGAGTGGAGCGTAAAGTCCTCGAGGATCTGCCCAAGATCCAGCCTCCTGCCTCCTTAGGGTAAGGTCCGCAGCCTTGGGATGATGTTGAGGGTGTCGGTTAAGGGGGAGGGGGGGACATCTTTCCTCACTCAGTGACGTTTGGAGCAGTCATCTCGAGAACGAGTAGGCCGTTCAGCCATTGGAGCATGCGGCCCCCCCCACCCACCCCGGTTGGTTCGGCAGCATGGGTACGGAAATTAGAATGATTCAGAGATTGGCCTGGCCCCTGCACTAGGGTGACTTGCAAATCCATAAAGCCTCCCATATCTTTTATAAATAAGTCATAGTCTTACAGCACAGTTCAACTTGTCTATCTCAACCAGAAATCCTAAATCACTCTAGTCCCATTTGGCCCATATCCCTTTAAACCCTTCCTATCCATGTCCCCATCCAGATGCCTTTTAAACGTTGTAATTGTACCAGCCCCCACCACTTCCTCTGGCAGCTCATTCCATACACGCACCACCCTCTGTGTGAAAAAGTTGCCCCTCAGGCCCCTTTTAAATCTTTCCCCTCTCACCTTAAACCTATGCCCCTCTAGTTTTGGACACCCCTACCCTATGGAAAAGACTTTGGCTAGTCACCCTATCCATGCCCCTCATGATTTTATAAACCTCTGTAAGGCCTCCCCTTTCTGAAGAAGCTGCCAATATAAACTCAGTCCACTCTCCTGCTTTCTCTGTGATCCCCTTATCCCTAAGAACTACATCTAACTCCTTGAAAGCATTCAGTGTTTTGGCTCCGATCGCTTTCTGTGACAGAGAATCCCACAGGCTCCCCCACTCTGTAGGTGAAGACGTTTCTCCCTCATCTCAGTCCTACCCTGTCAATATGTCCCCTTGGTTCTGGGCATGCACACACACCCACA